TTCTCGTGACTTCGCATGTTTACTGATGATTTTGTTTATTTTTTAATAAAGTTGAGTAGAATAAAAGATTAGTTTTTTTTCTTGATGTTTATTTCCACTGAACTTAGTCACTTTATTTTAACAGCATTAAATGTACTTCGAGTATCAGAAGTAGAAGTACTCTGACTGGAATATTATTTAACAGGTTTGTAGCAAACTTCATTTAAATCCAACAAGTAAAACGTTTTTTTTTTTCATACACACTTTATTGCAGATTATTCAACAACATTTCTCATCTTAACAAACAAATCTACAGTTTTGACACCTGAAGGGAAATAGAACTGAAACACTGCGCCCTCGCTTTGGATGTGATGACGTCATCCGTTACTGATTTGCATCACGGTTCCGTTACTTGACTTGCGGCGGCACCAGCCAATTGAATCATGTTAATGTGGAGGAGGCGGAGCCAGCAGGTGAACATGGCGTGTTGGTCTCTGTTTCTCGTGCGCTTCTCTTCATTGTATTGATGGTTAACATGACACGTTTGCACAAAAGACAGTGATGTCGTGGCGACTGTCAGCACCAAGTGTTGGACACGCCCACATCTAGCGTGAGTCCAGCTGTTCGATCAGTTCACTTCAGACGAACCAGGAAATAAAGAAAACTGTAAACTGAACGTGTTGGAATCTCGTTCGTCGATTACGTTTGGTCACTTTAATGAAGAATCTTTACAGGAATGATGACATTCAACAACAAACATCACAACAAACACACGGAAGCTTTTACTTTGAAAATAAATAACAGACTGACGCTATGGGGAGGTCAGGCCCAGCTCCTCGCCACAGCTCTATGTGACCATGTACTCCTGGCGCTTGTTGAGTCGCACCTGGCAGAGCGAGACGGCGCCCACAGCCACGTAGATGGCGGCGGCAATGAAGCAGTTGATGCCGACCTGGTTATAGAGAGCGTAGACGTTTTGAGGAGGGACTTTACTGCAGGAGAGAAACAAACGTTCACACTCAAACCGTCACCGGTCAAATATTCTCGTGTTCGTGGTGTTATAATAATCTGATCATTATTTATCTCGTGTAAAATGTCGGACTCACTCGTTACGAATGTCGTCTTCAGTGAACGGGACGTCCTCGATCAACACGGCCGACTTCGCACTGAAGAAGATTCCCAGCATCGCCTGAAACACAGAGCAGAGACGGTCACACAGAGGGGTCAACACGAGGCCCCGGGGTC